GCCGAAACAGCCCCGCGCCCCCGGCCCGCGGGCAGACGCACCCCGCAATAAACGTTAATGAGAGCCCCCCGCCCCCTTCGCATCTCCCCCCGCGGGGACCGGGCTGGCCGGGAGCCCCAGCTCCCTCCGAAACGCAGGGGGAAGGGGGGCCCTCCCGGGGCGCTGCGTTTCGCTCGGGAAAACCGTTCGGGCTTTAAAAAAATGACGTTGTGCCCTTTCTTGCTGCTGGGCTTAGTAATTATTAGTATTATTCAGCTGTTGCACCCGGAGGTTCATCGCGTTGTTATTCAAGCACCGGCTGCAGAGGGGTTTCAGCGCAGCACCCATAGCCCCCTTTACACCCGACCCATTAGGCGCTGAGGCTGCAATAAAAAGAGAATTAAACCGAACCTTGTATGAACATCGATGCATCCAGCCGCAGCAACTTTAATAATAATCATATTCAGGTGCATAGAATAGTTACGGTGAAAATCCTTTCGTATCTTTCCAGTGAGTAAAACTATTAAAGATTTGGAGCCAGATATTCTTTTCTTTGCGTGCCCAGGGAAATGAAAAAGCTATGGAGATTTTTGTTGTTTTCTTTTTTTTTTTCTCTTGTTGGGAGATATTTTTTTTTTTCCTTTCTTTTTTTTTTTTTCCGCAGAACTAAGTGGGGTGACATGCTCCGTTGAAGGAAACAGAATAGAAATCCTCCTTCTGTAAAAAATCACGGGGCGAATTTCACAGTTTCGGGGAATAGGATCTCAGCTTCACTTCGCTGTTTTGGGCAACAGAAAGAGAGAAACTCGTGGTGTGGTTCGTCTGTGTTACAGCCTCGGAGGTCCTGTTCGGGCCGTGGAGTGGCACAGCTGAGATTTCTGATCGTAATCTAAAAAGGAAATAGCTGCCATTTAGGAGACGTAACCGTTTCCACTATCGCATTTTACCTATCCTTAAAATGCAAATTTATCCCAAATTTCAATAGCTGCTTCGTCAGAGAGTCTGAAGAAGGGGCCGATTAATAAATATACCCTAGAGATAAATTATCCCTTCGAATAAGGTTATCAGCGTTAAAATTGTAGAAGTGCTTTCCAGGCGTGAAAATACAGGTACGCGGCAGAGAGACAACTGATAAAAGGAAAAAAAAAAAAAAACACAACCAAACGAAACCGCCGCAGGAGCTCTAACTCTCTCCACATTGGAAGAGATGGCAATTTTCTGAGAAAAATTCATCACTACGAAAAAAAGTCCCCTGCAGTGGCTGCCGCTCTGAATCGATAGGAGAGCAGAAAACGCCTAATGCCTGTCACCCACGAACAGTGCTGTGGAGTTAGTTTATCTTTACATTAAATCTGGGACATATTAACTGTTCCGTGGTCTAAAGTCTGTCTGCTCTGCCTATTCCAGCCGTGATTGAATCTGAAGGAAATCAGATGTGCGCGAGAGCGGTCGAAACGTGCTAAGCTGGAGGATCTTGCAAGAGT